ATATATATATATATTGACACCTGTCACTGTGCCTTTAAAAGTTGAATCATAATAGATTCAGATCTTGGTATGTAACCTAGAATCTTCTGATTAAAGAAACGTATAAAAGGTAACGGTTCCCTTGCTCGAAAGCCAGTCGAATCCGACTCTAGGGTTGCGGTGCTCATCTCTGTTTCAAAGCCGAAGAGCCAGCGCTGTCCGAAGACATTTCCGTGGTCATGTGGCCGGTATGACTAAACACCAAGGCGCACGGAACACTGTTACCTTCCCACTGAAGTGGTACCTATTTATCTACTTGCAATTTCTTGCTTTCGAACTGCTAGGTTGGCAGGAGCTGGAACTAGAGACATGAGCTCACTCCGTCATGCGGCACACTCGGGTCTCGAACTGCTGAACTACTGACCTTCCACAGCCTGCAGTTCAGCGTCTTAACCACTTGAGCCACCACAGCTCTAAAGAAACTTATAGCAGAACATATATATTTTATAATTGCCTTTTTTATATATGAAGCCTTTGTAGATGGAATTAGGAGTTGCAAGGACGCCAAGAGCCAAGTTTAATGTGAATCACAGCCCTTATCAGCTAGTTCTCCAGAAGCGAGGCCAGAGAGGGTCCCCCTGTTCTCTAATGTTTCCCATTGTTCTGAAGACCAGATAAACAAATGCAATCACTGACATACATGACCAGTATCAGGAGAGACCAATAGTAACGTTTAGAGTCAAATGATGTTTTTATGATGTTAACTGCTTGGTACCAATTAAAGGTCCTTGAATCTGTAAATTATATGCGATGTCATTTGGGGTATAAGAGCCTCTGCTCTTCCTGGTAAAGGCAGAATACAGCTTGGTGTTGCTAAGTGCTGTAAGGTACTCAGCTCTGTATCTCCTGTTTTAATTGCAGTAAACAGATATTCATCTAACTCGTTGGACTCCGACTGTGTGATTCCAATTTGGCCAAAGGGGTCACACAGGGCACAGATTTGTGCATCAGTCTGCAACTTTAAACCCTAATAAAGTCCCTCCCCCTTCCCAAACCCCACCCCCATAGGCTCCACCTTCCAAATCTCTGGGAATTTCTCGACCTGCAGCTGGTAACCTTCCCAGTAACTGATGCTCCATGCACCTGTTGAATGGCTGCCTTTCACAATGCCCAGGATGCAATATTTTTGAAGAACAGTCATACTCGTGATTCATAAAGTGTTTTTCAAAAAGGAGGAACTCTCCTTGTCTTGCTCCTGTTCTTGTAACTGGGGGGGGGGCAGTGGGAGGGTGTTAAATAGTGAGTTCCATGGATGAGGACCTTAAGAGCCTCTTGCTCAGAATGAAAGAGGAGAGCGCAAAAGTGGGCTTGAAGCTCAACATCCAAAAAACTAAGATCATGGCATCCAGGCCCATCACTCCTTGGCAAATAGAAGGGGAAGTCATGGGAGCAGTGACAGACTTCACGTTCCTGGGATCCCAGATCACCGCAGACTGTGACAGCAGCCATGAAATTAAAAGACGCCTGCTCCTTGGGAGGAAAGCAATGGTGAACCTAAACAGCATGATAAAAAGTAGAGACATCACCCTGCCAACAAAAGTCCGCATGGTCAAAGCAATGGTATTCCCAGTAGTCATGTAGGGCTGCGAGAGTTGGACTATAAGGAAGGCCGAGCGCCGAAGAACAGATTCTGTTGAACTATGGTGCTGGAGAAGACTCTTGAGAGTCCCTTGGACTGCAAGGAGACCCAATCAGTCCATCCTAAAAGAAACCAACCCTGACTGTTCCCTGGAAGGCCAGATAATGCAACTGAAACTCAAATACTTTGGCCACCGAAGGAGAAGGGAGCACTCGCTGGAGAAGACCCTGATGCTGGGAAAGATTGAAGGTCAAAGAAGATGGGGACGGCAAAGGATGAGATGGTTAGACAGTGTCATCGATGCAACGAACATGAAATTGAGCCAACTTCAGAGGACGGCGGAAGACAGGAGGGCCTGGCGGGAGATGATCCATGGGGTCGCGAAGAGTCGGACTTGACTGTGCGACTGAACAGCAACAACAACAAATGGATGAGCAGACCCCAAGTCTAGTGATCAGCTCTACTTTATTAGTGATTTCAGCAAGAAGGAGGCACCGCCCTGTTTTAATAGCATGCATTTGCCACACCCAAACACACCCCACTCCCAACGAGAGGCTATTTACATAACATTACTCCTTGATTGGTTACTTCCAGAGTCCTGGTGGGCTATTGTTCTTGGGCTCCAAGCTCAGCCCATCTCAGGTAGAACAGTCCTGGAATGTTTCAGTTCCAATACATAACAGTGGGGGAGACGGCAAAATTATTCCAAAGCTGCAGATTGAAAAGGAGTCTTGATGCCTCGCCTCCCTGTGTCCAGTCCAATACAGTGCATGAAGTTTCTATCCCCTGTGATAAGGAATGAGAAACCTCTCCGACGTGCTGGATTGATTGTGTGCATTCCAAGGAAACAGTCTGTTCCCCACTTGGATATTTGCATGTGTCGGTTTATTCTGGGAAGGGGAAGCAGAGTCCCTGCTGGTTAGTTCTGTTTGTTAGTGAGAACTTCAGACTGCGTGAGCTCCTTTGCACTGTATCCAGTCGCCCCCATCCCTGTATCTTCTTGCTAATAAATGGATGTTCTTTTGAACACACCTGTCTCTGCTGGGAGCCTATGAATACCTGCTTCCTGAACAGGAAGCAAAAGGGAACATCACAACCAGAAAACTGTGAAGTCGCAAAGAGCTTATTAAGAGGTCTTTTCTTATTACAAATCAGTTACCGTTCTGCATAGCTTCAGGTGGGTAACCAATGTTTGTAAGGTATGGTATAGCATCGTACTATGGAAAGTCCCATCTAATTGTAGCCGACGAGCCAGTAGGGTATTCAAATCCTTTCCACCCTCATCCCATGTTCTCAGGCAGTTGATTCTTACTATATTTCTGTTCTGCAACTAGATCAAGATGGGTAGCTGTGTTAAGTCTGTCTGACATTGAAAACCACAACATCCAAAAATCAGTGGGGGTACATTTTAATCTTCCAGGATATTCAGTTGCTGACCGAAGGGTAGCAGGTCTCTTACAAAGGAATTTCGAAATGAGATTAGAAAGAGAGACGGCTGAATTGGAACTGATAATGAAGCTCAAGACAATATAACTTCCTGGACTGAATCGAGACCTAGGCTTCTTGTCTCATTACCTGTGCTGATTTCTCCATGCCTGCTACCCCTCTGCATGTCACTCCTAAATCCAGTCATGCTGCTATTGTTGTTCACCTGCTACTGTCATTCGGCATCTGAAATCACTCCACTCTCCAAGGTGTAGGGACAGAGGGACTCACATTCTAGATGTATCCGAAAAGTGAGCGGTTACTCACGAAAGCTTCTACCCTGCCACAAATTTTGTTAGTCTTTAAAGTGCTACTGGACTCTTGCTCTTTTCTATTCTGCATCTGTCCGCCCACCCCACTGTGTCCTTCCTAATGGCGTTTGCTCTGTGTTTAACTACGGACTGCCATGTCCTTGGGCAGAAGTTGACTAGTAAAAGAAGAAATTGCCATGGCTACTTTCCGCCAGTAGGTGGCATCAAACACCCAGCACATTTCTCTTGCATCAATTCCTCTGCTTGCACCCCCAGGCATCAGTGGAGGGGGTGGTGGTCATGTGGTTTTACGAGTTCGCGGGGGTCGCATCTCTTCCTTGATTATACAAAAAAACTTTTCCCTGTCAGTTTTAACCATTTTTTAAATCTCGTTTGCAACAGTAAAGCTACCTGTGGAGGAAGGGCCTGGGCCTGAGGTCCCAGTCTTACCCAGGGTTGCCAACTTTGGGGTGAGAAATACCTGGAGATATTGGGGGGGTGTGAAGCTT